CCCCTCCACATGTTCCCCAGCCTCATCACCCAAGTGAGTGCTCAGCTCATTGCTATGTGAGTCTCTGGTCTTCCCCCCCCTCTACATGTTCCCCAGCCTCATCACCCAGGTCAGTGTTCCACCTCTCACTAGTGCAAACTTCTGTATCTAGGTACTGTCTTGTCTGGTCCCCAACCTCATCACCCCCCCCAGAGGTATGTGGAGAAATTTGCACGGGACGCTAAAGTAAAAAACGCAGGACGCGTTTTTCTCCACATTACCCCAGAGTAGTGTGTAGTGTCTTATCAGTGCATGTCTTCTTCTTATTGGGTACCCTTGTCTTGTCCCCGATCTTGTTTGAGGAGATGCGGCCTCTCTCACTCGCCTGCAATTTTTGAGGCGTCTCGAAAACCGCGTGAACTGAGATGATTTTTTAGGTGCCTCAACGATCTTGTTTGAGGAGATGTATGTGCCCTCCCTCGCTCGCCTGCAGGAGATGCTGTTGGGTTGGGACATGAGACGGCGCCCCTTCCCCCTATTGGTCATCTCTTCACTTCCCATATTTTTCCCTGCAACAATATCTGCAACATTCTCCAACACACCAGGAGGTGAACGTGAATGTGTCTCCCACTCTACCCTTCTGTTACACCCCACCACGCCAGGTGGTGAACGTGAACGTGTCTCTCACGCGCCTGCAGGAGATGCTACTGGCAGACGAAACAAACATTGACGCCCCTGCGCCGCCCATCGACCCCGCCAAGCCGGCAGTCGAGGTTTCCCATGCCTCCTTCGCCTGGAGCGCTGCCCCCTCTGCTCCTGCTCCCACTGCTGCTGCTGCTAACGGTGCTGCTACTGGTCCTGGTGGTAGCAGTGCTGCTGGGGGAGGAGGGGGAGTTGGCAGAGAGAAGGTTGGAGTGGGAGGGGAGGGGAAGGAGAAGGACGTGGGGGGCACGCTAACAGATGTGACTCTATCGGTGGAGCCTGGGAAGCTGGTGGCTGTTGTGGGCGCCACAGGTACGGCATGCTGGGTGGTCAGTGCAGCAGTCAGGACGCCACAGGTACTGTTGTGTGTGGGCGCCAGAGCAGGTAAGTGCGGGTCAGAACAGGTCAGGGCGGGTTAGTGCAGATCAGGACGGGTCAGGGCGGGCCAGGGCAGGTCAGAGCAGGTCAGGGCGGGTCAGAGCACCTTAACGATTCGTGATTGTAATCGCATCCCCATCGCTTCCTCCTAATGCACTGCATGCAGGCCAAGGCAAGTCGTGGCTGGTGAGTGCACTGTTGGTGGGCGAGATGGTCATGGTGTCATTGTCAGGGGACTGAGAGGCCCTTTCACCCACCCACCTCTTCGTCACCCCATCCCTTCACACCTTGCTTCCCTCCACCGTCCCACCCCACCCCATCCCACGGCATCGCATGCCACCACACGCCAGGCCAAGGCAAGTCGTCGCTGGTCAGTGCACTGCTGGGCGAGATGCCCACCCGGTGCCAACCACGCCCTTGGAAAGGCGAAGCAAGCCGTCCCTGGTCAGCGAGATGCCCACGGTGTCAGGGGACTGAAAAGGCCTCTTCACACCAACCCACATCTTCCTCGACCCCATCCCTTCACCTTGCTTCCCTCCCCCATCCCACCCCATCCCATGGCAGGGCAAGGCAAGTCGTCGCTGGTCAGTGCACTGCTGGGCGAGATGCCCATGGTGTCAGGGGACTCTCCTCCAATCATCAGAGGCCGCGTGGCCTATGTCTCGCAGGATTGTTTGTACCCATTTTTTAAGATATTTCTTGCATCTGATGCCATAATCCACCGCGTTGGAGTTTTTTTCATCTGCCCATATGCAACAGCTTTTCATCTGATTAGGGCATGAAATGCAAGCATTTTCACCTTTTTTTTTCCATCTTCTAAGCCATTTCATGCTTTCGTTGTTGTTTATCCGCCTTCTCTTTCCTCTCCAATTACATTCTGCCACGTGGCACGTGGCGTACGCAGGTCTCCTGGATCTTCAACGCCACAGTGCGCGAGAACATTCTGTTCGGGCTGCCGTACGACCGGCAGCGGTACGAGCGGGCAGTGAGAGTGAGCGCCCTGGAGAGGGACCTGCAGCTGCTGCCAGGAGGGGACCTGACGGAGATAGGCGAGAGGGGAGTGAACGTGAATGGCGGGCAGAAGCAGCGCATCAGCATCGCGAGAGCGGTCTACTCCGACGCCGATGTGTTCCTCTTTGACGACCCGCTCTCCGCCCTCGACACCCACGTCGCCAAGCAGGTGGGTTGCTGCATTGGGCCTGGAGTTTTGGAGCCGGGCATTCAGGAGTTAGGGCTTCGGGGTTGGGGTGTTGGTCTTTGGGGGTTGGGGTTTCAGTGGATAGGCTTATGGGGTTGAGAAGTTGGGGTTACAGGGGAGAGGGGTGTGGACATGAGTGGGGGGCAGAAGCAGCACATCAGCAGTTACTCCAACGCTGATGTCTTTTTCTCTGACGACCCGCTCTCCGCCCTCGACGCCCAAGTTGCCAAGCAGGTGCGCATGTGCATCTGGGTTTCAGTGATTGGGGTTCAGAGTTTGGGGTTTTGGGTTTGGTTGGATGGATTCATGCAGACATGAGCATTTGGACGAGGCTAGCAAAACTCGTCTCGACAAGAGCCAAACGCGCCTCATGGGTTCGTTGGCGACTCGCAGGATCTCAACCGTCCATACTTGCGTGCGCATGTGTAATCATGTCTTATGTTCTGTACATGTCTGTGTTCTGTTGGTGCATCGCTGCATGTTAATGAGATGTGATCCCCATCGATGCGTGTGAGCAGGTGTACGACACGTGTGTGAGGACGGAGCTTGCCGGCCGCACGCGCATCATGGTCACGAACCAGCTGCACTTCCTACCAGGTAACCCTCTCTTCACCAAATCCCTTCAATTAACTCAAAACGCCGTTCTGTAAAATGTACGAGTCACTGTGCGCAATCAGCATATGAACAGGGCCTGTACAACCAGCTCAACTCCAATACCTCCCCTGCACTCTTCTTCCCCCTCTCAGCTCAAGGCCTCTACCTCCTCCCAAACCCCTCTTTTTTCGCTCGTTAAACCCTAAACGCGAACCCTCGTCCCCTTCACAGCGGTGGACTGGGTGGTGATGGTGGAGGGGCGGCGCATAGCAGAGCAGGGGCCGTATGTGCAGCTGAAGGCGTCGGCACCCAAGTTCCAGAGGCTGCTGGAGAAGGCAGGCGTGCTGGAGGAGCACGGGGACGCGGAGGTGGGCGGAGAGGGAGGGGAAACAGCCGGTGGGAGTGAGACAAGCGCTGAAGCTGCAGCTGCTGCTGCAATGTCTGGCAGCAGCAGCAACAGTGGTGGTGGTTGCGGGGGTTCTGCTGCTGCAGAGAACGGCTTTTCTAGCAGCAGAAACCAGGTTGGGGAGAAAAGCGGAGCAGGGAAGGGGGAGAGGAGGGGAGCAGGGAAAGGGGAGAAGAGCGGAGCAGCAGGGGGAACAACTCTAGTGCAGGTGGAGGAGAAGGTGCAGGGGGTGGTGAGCGCGGCGGTGGTGTGGCGGTATGTGAGGGCCATGGGGGGGGCGGGCGTGCTGGCGGTGCTCATCTCGCTCTACGTGCTCGTGGAGGCCGCGAGGGTGCTGGCCAGCGTGTGGATCAGCGTTTGGACGGGGAGTGTTTCTCAGGAGGAGAGTGGTGGGCATGGGTCGCTGTATTTTGTGGCGGTCTATTCGCTCATCTCCCTGGGCCAAGTGCTGCTCACCTTCGCCAACCAATACTTCCTGGTCAGTGCTTCTAGTCAAGGGTTGGTCGGTGCTTCTCAATCAATTTTCTCTGTGCTTACTGCTTGATTGGCTGGTACATGGAGAAAGTATGTACGACAAGGAAGAGTCATGAGCTGAGTTTTGAGACGCCTCAAAACACTCCTTTTTTCACCTGACTGCTTGATTGGCTGGTACATGGAGAAAGTATGCATGACAAGGAAGAGTCATGTGCTGAGTTCTCATGTTTAGGGTTGGAGCGTCTTGCGAAAATGGGTTCTTTCGAGTTTGAAGGTTTAAGATTCTCTTGAATTTCTAGGAAGAGTTTTTACAGTCTTGATCCTTTTTGCTTAAGCGTGTTTTGAAGGTTTGCTGCTACTCCCGATATGAATCTTGATCCTTGCCTGGTACATGGGGAAAGTATGTATATGACAAGGACGAGTCATGAGCTGAGTTTTCATGTTAGTGGTTGGCAATAAGTTGACAGCCCTTGACTTCATTTTTAACAAGTGCTTACTTCAACGCCGCTTCATCAGACTTTTTCTTTCTCGTCCCACCTCTTCCTTCTTGCTCCCCTCCTCTCCTCCCGCACCTTGCAGGTGTTTTCCTCCCAGAGAGCGGCTGGGCGTCTGCACGATGCCATGCTGGCGGCCATTCTCCGCGCCCCCATGTCCTTCTTTCACACTAACCCCGTGAGTCACAAGTTTTGAGAATTCCTAATAGTAACTCCAATATGGTGCCCACGTCCTTCTTCCACACCAGCCCCGCGAGTCATGATCTCCGAGCTCTCATCTCTACATGAAACAAGCACGTGACTGAATATTCTGTTCTCACTGATAGATTCTGTGACACCTTTCACACCAACCCAGTGAGTCATGATCTCCCAGCTCCCATGTCCCATGTCTTCCTGTGTGGATGGACTCGCACCAAACCTGCGATTCATGATTTCTAAATTTCTGTCAAGTGTACTGAAATATCATGTGAGTGCTGAATGAGCTCCTGCACACAAGTTTTTTCGACATATATTTCCTTATCGTCCCTTCCCAGCATGCCAAACCTTCACTCCCCCTCTCTTCTGCCCCTCTCCTGGCAATTTTTGCTATGCCGATTGGTCTCCTTGATAAACTGATCCGCTAAGAGCAGATGGGTCAACTCTTGAAAAACTGATCCGCTAAGAGCAGGTGGGTCACCACTTGAAAAACTGATCCGCTAAGAGCAGGTGGATCACCTCTTGAAAAAATGATCCGCTAAGAGCAGGTGGGTCACCTCTTGAAAAACTGATCCGCTAAGAGCAGGTGGGTCACCTTTGACAAGAATCTCACACAGGACACGTGGCTCTGCCTGAGCTGCGTTTTCCCCTCCCCTCCCCATCGTCAATCCTCCACCCCTCCTATATGGGTCGCCTGATCAACCGATTCCCCACGAACACGTCGGACATCAGCAAGAACCTCCAATGGAACCCCACTTAGGAGGCATGACGTTGCGTGGCAGCGGCTTGTTTAATTAAGAGATTGTTTGTTTGTAGGGCTTGCTTAAAGACCTTTGTAGGAAAATGTCGGACACCAGCAAGAACCTCGCGCAAGGATACAGCGGACACGTCACGGAGTCTGAATGGCATATCCCACTCCCCTTCTCCTCAATCCCCCTACCCCAGGTGGGTTGTCTGATCAACCGCTTCACCAAGGACACGGCGGACATAGACAAGAATCTCGCGCAGTACACGTCTCTCTCTGTCTGAACGGCATATCCCCTTTCCCCTCGCACAACCCCCCTTCCCCTCCCTCCCCTTCAGGTGGGTCGTCTGATCAACCGTTTCACTAAAGATACGGCCGACATCGATAAAAACCTCGCGCAGTACACGTCGCTGTGCCTGGGAGGAATATTCCAGCTGCTCTCCACCTTCGCCCTCATCGGCGTTCTCAACACCGTCGCCCTCTGGGCCATCGTGCCGCTGCTGCTCCTCTTCTACATCGTTTACCTCTACTTCCAAAACACTGCCCGGGAGGTCAAGCGCTGGGACTCAGTGACGCGCTCTCCCGTCTACTCCCAGGTACGCTTTGAGGCAGCTCAGAATTTTAAGCCAAATGAGTGGACCATCGTGCCACTGCTGCTGCTCTTCTATGTGGTCTACCTCCACTTCCAGAACACTGCAATGGAGATGGAGTACTGGGACTCTGTCACACGCTCGCCCGTCTACTCCCAGGTGTGTGTCCACTTTGGTTGTCGAGAGATGCCTTGTCAGTCCTCGCCCTGTGGGCCATCGTGTCGCTGTTGCTGCACTTCCATGTCGTCTAAATCTGCTTTTAAAACGCCGAAGCCTAGCGCTGCCCACTGACTTCCTTTCGTCGGCCAGCGTCAAAGTCGGCTTTGCCGATGTTGGCCTCAAGGTGACCCGGCAGAAGTCGTCGACCAACTTCGCCGACTTCCTCCTCCAGGTCGACGCCAACCACCAAGTCCAGCCGGCCGGCTGCACACCTTGCCGGCCGGTCAGCGACGTCGTTTGAGGCGCCTCAAAAATCGTCGACTTCCTCCTCCAGGTGGACGCCCACCACCAAGTCCAGCCGGCTGCACACCTTGCGGGTCGGTCAGCGACGTCGGCTTTGCCCAAGCGAGGGCGGGGCCATTGTCCCGTCAATAGCTTCAGATGCTGTAGGGTGGGGCCATTGTCCCGTCAACAGCCCCACTCCATCCTCCCTTAAAACCCCACGTCCTCTCCCTCCTAATTCTGTGGATTCGTGTCCCCGTTTCCCTCTCCAACCCACGCGTTCTCGACTTCGTCGTGCCCTCTTTCAGTTCGCCGAGGCACTGAGCGGGCTGGCAACTATGAGGGCGTACAGGGCAGCAGCATGGGGCATGGCAGGGATGAACGAGTGCCACCAACCCCCCCTTCTTCTCCCCCCTCCCACTTCTCACACGCACACAACCCGTCCCCCTCTCAGTTCACGGAGGCACTGAACGGGCTGGCAACTATGAGGGCGTACAGGGCAGTGGCATGGCGCATGGAGGGGATGAACGAGCGCCACCAACCCCCCCTTCTTCTCCCCCCCTCCACATGCATACAAAACCCATCCACCTCTCAGTTCGCGGAGGCACTGAACGGGCTGGCGACCATCAGGGCGTACAGGGCAGCGCAGCTCATGGCGGCCATGAACGGGCATGCGGTGGACCGCAACACGCGCTTCACCCTCGTCAGCATGAGCGCCAACCGCTGGCTCGCCTTCCGCCTCGAATTCCTGGGCGGACTCATGATCTTTGGTCAGTGACACTCGTTTTAGGCAAGGGACGCTCATGATCCTCGTGATCTTAATTATCCTCGTGATCTTAATTATCCTCGTGATCTTAATTATCCTCCTGATCTTAATTATCCTCGTGATCTTAATCATCCTCGTGATCCTTGTCGGAGAAACCCCTCTTGCGTTACCTGCTTCTGTCCTTGTACTCATGCTGCTTTCTCCTTCTCACCCTTGCATCTATCTTGTCCCTGTCCCCTGGTTCCCTTCTCCGTTTCTGGTGTTACTTGCACACACACCCATGCCCCCACCTTACTCACTTGCTTCCTTCGTCCGTCCCTGCCCCCACTGCTCCACCCCAGGTTTTCATGGCGACGCAGCACCGCACAGGAGTGCTCTGGCTCCTGCTCCTCTTCCTCCTCTTCCTCTTCCCTCGCGTACACTCCTGGTTCTTTCTCCTTCTTGCCTCCCAAAGCCTGCAGCTGAGCCCGCAGCCTTCCTATCTGTGTTTCTATCTCCTCTTGTGACCTCCTTGCTCCCCCAGTCCTCTGATAGCAGTCCTTCTACTGATGCCCCCTCTTCCCACACACTTCACAGGTTGGCGCGTCAGGGCAGTTCTGACGGCGGTGCCCTGGTTTCCCACACACGTCGCAGTTCTTGCAATTCAATCTTACATGTCCTGGCTGTCCACACCTGTAGCAGGTCTTCGTGTCTGTCCTTCTCTCATATTGCTGCTCCTCTCCGCCTCCCACCCCCGGTATCATTGCTGCCGCCCAGGTGGGTCGCATCTTCTCAGCCACTGTTGGCAGGTATGCCTCATAACGCCTCTGTGCCAGCTCCACCTTTTCTGTTAGCTCAAACACTTCCTCCAGGCTTGCTTCTGCCCCCAGCTCGTATACTCTCATTTTCAGTCCTCCGGCCAGCCCGTCGTCCAATCCTGCCAGGAACTTACTAATCAGCATGCTGCTGTCGGTACACACCACATCCTCGGCCAGGTTCACGAGCCGCCCATAATACGACAGCAATGACTCATCCTTCCTGCGTTTGAAGTCCTGAAACTCCCTGATTCGCGCTGCCGTGTGTCCTGGGAATTGCTTGCGCAGCCGCTCCAGGAACAGTGACGTAGGGTCGTCCCCATCCTCCTCTGCCCTCCTCAGCCACTCATGCATCTTCATGCGATACAATGTTTCTGCTTCCCCACCCAAAGTGTTCGGCAAACTCAAAAAGAAGTCGACGGGGTCCATCCCACTCCGATCGCACCTGTACTTGACATTCCCAATCTGCATCAGATAATTCTTTAGATTAGTGCTTGTCCCTCCATTCCCCGTGAAACGCACTGGCACCTCTACTTGTGGTGGCGCCTGCATGCCCCATCTCCCTGAGTCCCAGGTTCCCGTTGCTCCTCGCTCCGCGCGGCTAACTTCTCCTCTGTGCCCCCTCATTCCCCTGCTGCCTGTGCTTGTCCCACACAGCACCCTGTCTATCCCTTCTCTAGCAGCTCTGGCTTCGCTAGATCCTTCTCCTGTCTGCCGTGGCCTCCTGGGGCCCCACGGACTCGGACTCCTTCTCTGCTCCTCCTCGTGAGCCTCTCTTCGCCCGCCTGCTTCCCCCCATCGCCTTTCTCTCCTCTCAGGCGAATAATCCTGGAATCGCCCTTCTCGCTTCCTCCTTTCCCGCTGCTCCTGGTCCTCTCTCTCACGAAACTCTCTCCGTTCTTCTTGCCTGCTCCTAAGCCCTTCTCTCCTTCCAGGGATATATTCTTCCCAGCTTTCCCCCCTTTGTCTTGATCCATGGCGTGCCCGCCTGTCACTCTCTTCCTCTTCCCCGCTCTCTGTTTCATACTTGTGCATCCCCTCCCGTCGCATGTGCTGCTTGTCACCTCTCTTCCTCTGTCCGCTCAGGTCCTGCTTCTCCCTCACCCCCGCTCCAGGTTCCATTCGCCCTTCTCGCCTTCCCCTGTACCCCTCTCTTTCTTCAGGGCATGACTTCTTCTCCCGCCACTCCGGCTTCCCGCGTCGGCGCCGTTCCAGATCATACCCATAGTCCTCTTCTTCACTGTACTCATGTTCCTTCTCTTCACGCAGCTCCTCATCACTCCTTCTCATCTTCTCCCTCCACTCCTTCCTCTCAAGGGACTCTCCTTCACAACGTCTCCCTCGTTCGCCTGCTCCTCGGCACTCATGATCCTCTCTTCCACTTCCTTTGTCACTTCCCGGGTCCTTCCCTGGGGACACCTCTCGCCAGCAGCGCTCTTCCTCACCCCTTCTCCTGTTTATCTCTCTCTCCTGCCTCCCCCTTGCCTCTCCGACAGGATCCTGCACCAACCCCGCTCCCGCGCATGGGTACTCGTCTACTCCGTTCCAGTGTGTTCTCGCATCTGCACCCGTGATTTACTGCCACCAACACACACTGCCGTTAACACGTGCTTCCCTCTCCTCCGTCCGCTGCCGTTCACGCGAGCGCCGCGCGCGCCTCCTCTCGTGGGCGTGCTCACTTCCTTCTCCCCCTTGCTCTGGTGATCGCCATCCGCCCAACGCCATGCGCCTCCTGCGCTCATGTCCGCGTCTTGGCTCAGGCGAGCTATACACTCCCGCCTGCACGTCTCGCCTCCTTTCTTCCTCACGGCTGGCTCCTGGCGCGCGCTCAGTCTTCTTGCCTTCACCGCGCCTTGCGTTACTTCCGCGCAGCCTGCCTGGCGAGCGATCCGCATCCGCGCTCCCGCGGCGCCTTGCGCCATTCTCAGGCATTTCGCCCGCCGAACTGTCTGCATCCGCGCTCCCGCAGCGTCTCGTGTCATTCCCGCGCATTCCGTCAGTCGAACCGGCTGCATCCGCACCCCCGCGGCGCCTCGCACCCCCGCGCATTTCGCCAGCAGAACGATCTTCTTCCATTACACATCCGCGTTCTTCGCGTCCATCTCTGCCATCGCTTTGCAGATCGTCCTCTTTCGCATCCGCCCGTTCTTCTCCGCGGCGCCTCGCGCCATTCCCACCCATTTCGTTTTCGTCCGTCGCACCAGCTGCATCCCCGCTGCCATGAAGCCTTTCGCCACTCCCATCTGTTTCGTCCGTCGCACCAGCTGCATCCGCGCTCTCGCGGCGCCTCGCGCTTCCCTTGCGCGTGTCGTCCGGCGAGCAATCCGCCGCCGTGTTCCCTCAACACCTCACTCGGCCTTCTTCACACATCCCCTCTAATGCAGGATCTGTTTCCGCGTCGCTCCCCTCCCCTCGATTCTGCAGATCTGCCTCCTCCCTGCCTAGGCGTTGTTCCCCGCCGCCCCGCGCAGTGGTGACACCTTCGCAATCTCCCTCGTCGTCAGCCTTCCTTGCTGATTCCGGCGAGTCCGTCATATCCGCGTCGTCATGACGCCCTTCTCCCGCTCCTTGCTGGCCACTTGCCAGATTCCAAGGATCACTTCCGGACGGACGAGGCCTGGGCTCCGCCTTCGCATGCGGATCGCCCTGGCTTCCTCCTCGTCGCCCTCGTATGGGTGAGCCCCCATCCGCGCGGTACGCCGTCCTCCGTGGCGAACGCGTCCGCGATCTCCCGCGCTCCAATGAGCGCATCCTCCGCGACGGTGAAAACTCCCGACGCGAGTCCATCTGCTGCCAACGCAGCTCGTGGCAGTCCATACCGCCAAAGCTGTTCTCTCGTTTGTGAGAGATTTCCGCTCCCACTCGATGGCTGCCCACAGTGGTTTAGAGCTACCTAGCTGGAGTTAGCTTGAAACGGCAACTTCAATCCACTATACGAGGCAAACAAACGAGAGAAGCCTTGGATTGGCCGATCCTGATTTCCTGTCTCTCGAGGCTTTCTGAATCCAACCCCTTTGTACCCAGCAGTGCCCTATTCTACCAACTTCGCGTCACCCTCCAGAACCCAACCAACCCTCGCTGAAACTGAATACTACAAGCTACACCCCTCTACACCTCACAAGCATGTAACAGAACATAATGCTTTTACCTTTATGTTCTGTGTCATCCTAATTATCCTCGTGATCCTAATTATCCTCGTGATCCTAATTATCCTCGTGATCTTAATCATCCTCGTGATCCTAATCATCCTCGTGATCCTAGAAATGTTGTACCCCATATAGTCTACCCCACTACAGCCTACACAAACTATAGCATATAAGTTTGGCAGTCTCCCCATGTCAAGAATGTTTTCTACCCTCTCCATGGTTGGTTCCCCCCTCCCCACCATGGCTGCTTCTCCCCTCTACAGCATGCTTTCCACCCCCTCTATTGCTGGTTCCCTCCTCTCCAGCATGCTTTTCACCCCCTCTATGTGTCAAACTTAATATATTTATATATTGTTAGGCTGTAGTGGGGTTACCCATAGAGGGTACAATTTTCTAGGGTTTCACATTTGTACTCTCTTCTTGCTAGTCAACACCTCATTCCCGTTCCTTCTGGTCTGAACAAAGTGGTTGGTTCTCCCATCTCCAGCATGCTTTCCAGCCCCACCCTTGGCCAATTCCCACTTTTAACCCCACCCTTGGCCAATTCCCTCTTTTCCTAATGCTTTCCACCCCCTATTTCGCTACTTTCCCATTTTCTTTGTTCAATGCTCGTGGTATCAGGTCCATACTGCACTTGCAATTCTGCCACACGACAAGATGGAATGGAAGTCAAGGGGGCAGTTTGTCAAGGCTAACCCAAGCGAGAAGAACTTCTCATCGAGCGCAACCAACCCTGCCGAGAAGGGATCCCCCTGGTATGGCGCCGTTGTCTTGTCCTGTTTCATTACAACAAATATGGTGAGCTGAGGCAAGGAGCATATGTGGAGTATTATACAGAAGACAAATGGCAATGCCCGTCAACGGGATGCAAGCATCTTCTACACACAGAACACGTGGAAAATTATGCTATGATTAATGTATACTGCGATTTCTATCTTGTGCACATTGTTCCCTCATGCGAGGATGCTGCAGTGAGCCTCCTTAACCGATTTTTGTGGTAAGGTCATGCAATTGTCTAGAAATTTGACCCAAGGAGACTTGTGTTAACATTGACCCTTTAGTTGATATCTTT